TAATTCCAGCCATTGTTTGACTGATTCCTGCATGCACTGAAAAGTAAGAATGTTTCCTGGAGGGCTGAAGGGCCTTTTCCCAGTTTCCATTAGTGTTTTTCCATTGCTTTTCTGCAGCTGCTTTTGCTGACTGCCTTTTGTCTGCCTTTTGGATTCTTTTAATTTACTTTGACCGTACATATATTTTCCTTGTAAGAAAACCCAGCAAACTCATTGAGCAGCCTTCTCCAATGCGTCTATGTGCAGATGCACAGATCTAGGCTTAGTGCATGCAGTGACAGGAGAGGAGAGGAGCTGTGCCCCTCCCCTGAGCGCCAGCCCCACTGTGCAGCATGTCCCTGCCGTGGGCGAACCGAGTGCTAATGGAGGGAGCAGACCTCACTAGCCCAAACATGCTGTGAAGTTGTGGTAGCCTCAGCCCAGAAGTTTGCTAATTGCTTGTGCCGCCTGCCCCTTGTTTGCTAGCCTTCTTGTTGCAGGCAAGTGCTGGAGAAGGGAGAGGGAAGCAGCCCTTGTGCTGCCTGGCTCCAGTGAGACCAGGACCATGTACAGGACCAAGACTGGGTGCCTTCAGCCCCAAGTTTATGTGGCTTAGAAAGGAAAACAACTCCTAAGTTCGCCTATCCTGTATCAGCCTGCCTTCCCCTGGAGACAGTCCTGCACTCTCAAATCCCTTTAACTCAGGGGCTTGGGGCAGAATTATGTGAAGAAAATAATATGCAAAACCTGCTCTGGCCATTTGGAACGGTGTTATTTTTTTCCTCTTTCCAAAACTATTCTGTTATTTTAAATGCCCTTTCAGGCAGAGCACTTAGTGGCAAGGTTTTGAAGGATGCTTTTGTTCTGCATACAGTAGTGTGACTTCTCAGTGAAAAGCAAAAGATCTGTCAGATCTCTATAGGTGCCCATGGTTAGAAGGGACAAAGGCAGTTCCTTGAAAACTGCGTCATTGTTCTTTAGAATTGGTGCAATATCTTTGAGAATAAGTGTGCAGTAGTTACTTTGACTGCTTCTGTCTCTATTAATTACTTGACATCTGTCTCGGTTCTTAAAATTGTTTGGAAAGCGTGGAGGCTTTGTGGGGTACACATCGCTAAAGGTGGAAGTGAAAATTCCTCGTCTAGGTCTGTTTGGAAAGGCTGTTTTAATAAAAGATGTTTTTTGAGAAAATATGCATGTTTTTTTGTGACATTAAGTCCACTTCCTGCTAGTATCTAATTAAAATACAAGCCTTACCACCTCTTCAGCTTTTGAGAACAGAATTCTCTTTCATGGCCATACTGTTTGATTCCAGTAAATAGGAGGTGAAAGTCTGAAGAGGAAAATGCTCAGGAACCAAAATAAAACTAGAAATTTTGTTAAATTAGAATTTTTTTTTCTAATTTGAAACAAAATGAACATTTCAAATTTTCTTTTTTTTTTTTTTTTATCAAAGACAGTAATGGATTATTTTCCTCATTTTTTCTATGAACTGTTATTAAAATGTGACTTTATGGAGGCATTAAGAACACCTCAGAGTATATTGGTCTCATGAGACATTCCTGGAACACTGAGAATGTATCTGAGCTTTCCAGTCGTCTTCTCGCAGCCCTGATTATCTGGGTTTCTAGCTGTGGTACAGTTTCTGAACTGGCATCTACTCACTAATTTATTCCTGGTTCCCTTTAGTATTTGCTTTTTATTTTATTTGCCTGCACACTAGATGTGAGGCCTGTGACCTTTTTGGTGACTGCAGCTGGGTGACCGCAGCCATTGCAGATTGGGATTTGTACTCACTGACCTTTGGCTACCTCGGTTACAGCTGGAGGTGCCAGTGTTTCAGAGCGGTGATGTGAAATTGTGTAAGACGTTAATCAGGCCCTGCTGCAGTTTCATCACTTACAGGCAAGATGGCATCAGGCTGTCTGGTGTCACAAACCAAAGCAGCAGATTGCTGGAAAAGGCTGAGAAAATTCTTGCATTCCTGGCAAGCCTGCGGTGGGTCATAGTATGGCACCACGTTTTTACAGTGTTACAAAACCCACCCTCTTTCTTTGCAAATGAATGGGTGCATTTCGTGGTCTGATGGACAGAGTCACGTTAACCTTCGTGGTGAGAAATGACCACACTCTGTGACCCCAGGACTGTTCTGGGCACACCTTTCTCTTTGGGGCATATCACAGATTTTGGGCCACTTAAATTAAAGCTTCTTAGAGTACCAGCAGCACTAAGAGGTCTTCCAGTGCACAAGAATTGGTTCTTGTGCTATGTTAATAGTACAGACCATCAGATCATGTGGCACTAATTAATTTTGGAACAATCATGTGCCAAAGGAAAAGATCTGGACTTTAGGAGCCGTCCTGCCATACGGTCCCCTTTTCCTTCTTCGCTGTGCATGAGAGCTGTCCGCTTCTTAACCAAGGGAGGAAAAGCCTCTTTCATTTCAGATGGTAAATGGTGGCATGGTCAGTGCATCCAGGAGATGCAGATTGTTCCCTATGTTCAGCCTTCAGTTCTGTGCATGTCCGTTCCACGGTCCTTTGTATTTTGTTATATTTTGCAAAGTGTCAGAGCAGCCACGGCCATGGTCAAATGAGTCCCATTCCCGTAATGGAGAAATTGCTGTAAACTGACAAGCTCTGCGTCCATCTGTCTCCATTGATAAGATCTTCTTGGAAGAGCCTGGAATGAGCCAGAAGTAAATCAAGCCATGCAGCGCTTCTAATTTTGTAGCTGGGTAGAATAAGAAACAAGGGTTTTCAAGCTAGCAGGCAGAGCATGGAAACGTTAGATACCTTGCACAGCACCTTGCCCATAGGAACAGATAGCCAGTATCTCTGTTGAGACGACTGCAAGGAGCATGTTCTTATGAGCATAGTTAGTGGATGTAAATATTATTTCACTGCAGAGTTCATGTATCACTGGGTAAAACATAATAGTTTATTTTGGCCTCAGGCCACATAAATGGCCTTGCTCTAAATAAGAGAAACTCGTCCAAAGGCAGTAGTTGTTCCTGCTTGCTTGAGGGCTGAATTCAGTCTGATTTGTGCAAATGTAGGAGAGAATCAGTGGAAAATAAGGGTGAGTTAGGACACACTATGCATTTATCTAATGACCAATGGAGAGGGAATGGTAAGGAATCTTTGTTATGAAAATGATCCCCCCATTGTGTTTACACTTCTTGCATTCCAGCAGCCAGATTCCCCAAAGCTTCTAAATTTCCAGCCAAAGATGCAGTGTATTGATTCTCTTTGTCTCTTCAGACTTATGGCAGAAAGATGTTTTATCTTTCTTGAGCGTTTCCAGAGGGTAGGAATACTTAATTTTGTTTCCTCTCCGGGGAGTCTTCTATGTGACACTGGGAGTTGGTTGTAGATGGCAGTAAAGAAGGGTTTGATTAGCAGCTGGCGTTCCAGTTCGGATTAAAGAAGTAGGAGAAGATCAGCCCTCTTAGCCGAATCTCGGGGAAGAAAATGCACTAATTTTCTTCCCTGCTTCTTGCAGGTTTGTGAAGGCCTCAGGACTTCCAAAGCAGTCTGCAACCCTTTGCATGGGCCTGTGCAGGGAAGAGCAAGCTTGCTCCAAATTTCCTTCACACGTAGAAAGATGAGCCCAACAGAGGGAAAGCATTGTGCCAAAGCTTTTCAAATGCAAGTGCTGAAAATGAAGGATTCAGTATCTGCTGCAGGATTTTCAGTAGCACCGTTCACACATTCCATTCCTGTTAATATCTGCAACCTGTGTGGTCTTAGGGGCTGTCTGCTTATGCTTGAGGAGCTTTTGTATAGCATATATATTATGGACACGCTTCTAAGGGACATGTTTTAGGGAACTCTAGGGCTTCTCTCCCCCGTCTTTTAGCACAACCTGATGGAGCAGGTTTTCCTGTCATCTCATGAGCATGCTCGTGACAGTATCACTGTCCTCATTACCACATCTGCCCAGCAGAGTTGAGATTCTGTGATGAAGTTTAGCCATTTAACCATCTCTCCTCCCCTTGCGATCCCACCTCGGAATATCCAATGTAACCTTCACCCCCTTAATGAGAGCATCTAGTAAACGTCATCTTTCGTGACTAGCAGCTAAATGGGTTGCATCCTGGAAAACCTGAAAACACAGCAAAATTTAATTCTAGCAAGTGAGCAGCTCCGAGGTCAGAATGCCAAATACCAGAGCCTGTGGCAAATTAAACTGGTGGCCCTCATTTATCTGAATTAGCAGGAAATTGTACTCTGTAGTGGGAGCTGAGAACTATTGGGAAAAACAATCTGGGATTGTTTTCTGCCTGCCAATAGGTGCTGCTTTGGAAGTATAAGCGCTTGTTCAGGTCATTTCTGGAAAAGCATAAACATCTGGAACTTACTGACTCCTTCAAGGTGCCCGTTTCAGGGAGCGTTTGACTGGAAGTAGCTGGAGCAGTGTGCTGAGCAGAAAATGCCTGCAGGAGCGGGACAAAGCTCGCCTGAGAGTTGGCCACGGCACAGCCCATCAGCAAACAGACCTTGCAGATTTGGACTGTGCGAGTGCATTTATTACTCCAAACCATTGGACCTGTGCTCAGAGCAAAGGTGCTTCAGCCACTGCTCACTGTCATGAGTGCTATGTGCACTTGCTCTTATAAACAAGCAAGTACTTTGAGGTCTCAAGGAAGGACCTTGCTGTTTTGGGAGCCGAAACTTGAGGTTTGTACTCTGTCATATGTGACATACAAGCAGCTACCATACTCCACGTGCACATGGCCACAGGCTATACTGGTGACTGAAGTCAGTGAGCCAGCCTTCCTGTTCTGCGCTGTCCCCTTCCCAGCTTGGAAAGCTCCCCCGCTGCCTGCAGCCAGGACAGCATTTCCATACAAATGCTTTTCTTAAGGAATCTTAATGAAATGAAAAAGAACATACCAGAATGAAAGGATCCGTGGGAGGGCGGAAGAATAAATACATGCACTCAGAGTTAAGAAATTCTCTGCAGTGATAAAATTTTATAAAATAACCGGAACCTCTTTGCATGTTTCCTGTCAACAGGATGAAGATGATCGGTGCCCTGCTAGTTACTCTATGGCTATGTATGATCACCCTCAGCAGCAGCTCCGGTAAGGATGTGGTATGTCTGCTTATCATGGGAAGAGCTGATCTAAAGCCAGAAAATTAGCTGAAGTAATTTTAAGCATTTACAGTAATCCTGGATGAAATTGTCGTGTGTAAAATACTTCTGGAAAATGCATGAACACTGTTTTAATTCTTTGTAGGTACTGTATAATGCTCAGGCATAATGGCTATGAGTATGGTATAAATGGTTCAACAAGCAAACAGACGGGAGTGAGCAACGGCTAAAAGTGCTTGGAAATTCAAGTTCCACACTTGGTCAATATTCTCCTTCTGCAAGGGGTGAAACCAGGGCCCAGCATGTGGCAGCGACTTGTCAGTGAGTTACAAGCAGGACCTGGGCTTGAACCTGAAACCTGCCTTTCGTGCCTGGATCCGGAGGGGGTTGAGATTCTGGCTCTTGAATTCTGACTCATGCCTCAGTAACGCAAGGGGAGAAGGGAACTTCTTGAATAAGATGAGCTCTCATAGCCGTCTCACTGAGTCACTTTCCTGACAGGAAATATGTTGTCATGCTCACAACTCCTCTGGCACACATTCAGCCGAGCTCTTGTGAAGAGGCAGATTGTGTGTGTCTCGGCTCTGGACTTCCTATTTGGGGGCGGAAGGGAGACAGCACGATTTGCAGAAGGCAAGTGGAAAGAGGGAGGGAGGAAGGAACAGGCACCGGCTTTATGAGGGAGAAGCATTCAGAAACGAGCGCTGCAGGCTGGGCAGGGGGTTTAGCTGGTCCCCCCAAGAGTACTTGCCCCTCCGCAGCACAGGCAAACTGGTTACAATGCCCAGCACAGACAAACAGCTCTTGTATCGTTGCATCTTGTACCGTGCTACACTGCCAGGGCCAGATTCACAACATCCGACTCGGCAAGGTTCATCTCAGTGCAGTGCAGAGGCTGAAGGCTGGGAGGCTTTTTTTCCGTAGGTTGCCATAGTGCTACTGGCATACTTAGTATAGTCATTAGTAGGGTATAGCAAATCCTGGCTAGTTGTGGAACAGGCGAGCAGTGGGGAAACAGCAAAGAGGAAACAATATATGGCCCAAGTCTCCAGCACTGAGCCCTGTGTGGTCAGAGTGCCTGGGAAAGGGGGGGATCCCATTGCGCAGGTTGCTGTTGCTCTCCTGGAAATTCCCTGCTTTGCATGCATTTCTGGACGTGCCCTTCTGCTCTGCATCATTACTGCTTTCTACCAACGTAATATCCTCCCACTGCTGAGGTGGTATCATCTCAGGGTTTTTCAGAAATAGGAAGTACGTGCAACTGAGTCAGGACTGTCCAGGAAATTTTAGAGCAGCTCTAGGCCAAGCCTGTCAACTGGGAGCTGCAAAATGAACGTCCTATGAATGTCCTGGCCTTTGGGTCACACAGGCTCATGCCAGCTGATCTGGTAGAACTCTCCATGCATTTCTGTGAGGCGTTCAGTGCTTTTTAAACATTTATCCTTTAGCAGAGGATTTCTGTGCAGGACAGCTGGGGTGGTTAGAGCCCTTGGAGAGTGCCTCAAAGACGTAAGCGTAACGTAAGACTGAAGGGCGTTGCACGGGACATGTGAACACTTAAAATATGTTTCTTCTGCAAGTCCATCGTAGTATATGTGCTTAATCTTTTGAACGTCTGTGGATGACAGACCCGCTCTTCAGTTCAGAGCTCTCTTCTTCTTCCATGGACACCATACACCACTTTGGGCTGTCAAAACATCTGTTGTTAATGCTAAAGGGCTTGTATGGCCGTTTGTGTTTGGATGGTTGGGCAGCCCTCGGTTTTGCAGTGTAGTTTCCTGGGATTGGCACCAAAAGGCAACTAAAGATTGTTTCATCCCTGCAAAGTCATAAATACAGCCAAATGTGGAAGACTGGACATGCTCTGATACTGATACAGCATTTGAGCTTTCTTCTTCCCAGTGCAGGGATTATAGGTGAGAGATGCAGGGTGGAGGTTATCTGGAGTGATTCCAGAAGGGCTGTGCGCAGTCTGGCAGCTGCCCCAGTGATCTCCTAATACTGACTGAGTTTGTATAAAGGGGTACCTGCCACCGAGCTACCAGGCTTCTCGAACGTTTAAAGTGTGTTTGGCTGAGTTTTCTGAATAACTTGGAGCTCTCCTTCACAGGAATTTGTAGTGGATATGAGCTTGCTCTGTGTGTGCTCTCAGCCAACTCAGTATGAATTATTGGCCCAGGCACCTGTGCAGACTTGGTTAGGACAAGGCTGAGCCCCAGCTAAAATGTCTTTCTGAGTAGGTAGTTGGGTTGTGTTTGTGCAAGAGCCTCAGCTGCTCGAGAAGGACAGAAGAGGAGAGGTGATGAATGGAAGTGGCAGGCTGGTGAAAATAGCAATACAGACTGCGGTAGGAACAGGCCTGTGGAGTCATTCACATGATGAAATCTGTTGAATTTCCTGCTTTTTGGCTATTCCAGTTACTTTAGTTACCTTCTCCATGCTTTGCTATCATGGTAAAATGCTGTATTCTCAAGGCCAGACCTCTCTCAGGCCCAGGCCTTGGGGCTGGCAGTGTGCTTGGGAAGGCTGGAGGAGAGTGCAGGAGTCCTGGCCTGGTTTGCTGCTGCCTCTCCTCCCTGCCTCTGCGGATGCTCATTCATGGAAGAGCAGTGCATGCAACAGCACTGAACTGACTGTCCTGAGCCAGGGGTACCCACCCTGCTTGATCCTGAGCTCTCTGTGCTTACAGAGGGGATGAAGAGCCAACACTTATTAAAATTCCAGCTATAAAATCAACACTACTCCAGCTGTAATACAGAAAGCCTTTCCGTCCAGCTTAGTCAGCGTGTCTGCCTGTCTCCCTGGCAGCATGTCAGAAAGCTTCAGTGTTGCGTCTCACCCTGCTCTTCACTAGAACAACACACCTGCAAACTTTTTTTTTCCTAAAATTTTGACTGCAGCACCATGGCTCCAAACATCCATCCTTTTGGCTCTGCTGTTTTTGCTTTGTGTGGAGGTTGGTGCTGGACCAAAATCATTTGCTGAAAGGGAGATGGAAGTTGGAAGTGCAAAGAGGTGTGTCCTCTGTTCAGTGTAGAGTAAAAGACTTGGAATCTGAGATTGAGTTTGTGCCTAGCACTACTACTAACTCATGCTATATGCTTGAGCAGATCTCTTCTGGTCTTGAAAGTATATCTGATCTGCAGTGCCTCAGTTTGAATTCCTTACTTGTGACCTTTGTGGCATTATTTGCAATGGTATTTTCCATCCTTAAGATGGAAATAAGGCTTGTGTTGTAGGATGCTTAATGAACCCAAATGTTTTCATATCCAGACAAAGAAAGATGGCAAAGGATCCTCTGTATCCAGTTCTGGTCTTACAATGATCTCTTTGACAGTACTGGAGTGATTTAGATATATATACTGGCTTAAAAGAGGTGAAAAACTGTCGGACAAAGAACATAATGGCCAGTATGAACAAGAAATTATACTATCTGTTTGTTTTCCATCAAAGCTGGCCTATCTTTGAAACTGTCTTGTTTTAAGAACTGGCTGTAGCGTGCTCCACATTTCATATTCTCTCTCTGCCACCCAGGCTGCTCTCTTATTCTTCAGGGGCTTCCAGCTTTTGCAGGGTGATAGCTCAGGAGAGAATCACTGCTAGAGTTATTGTCTTGGGAGTTGGAAAGGACTGGGCAAAGGCAGAAGAATATTACTGCCAGGAGGGAAGGAATAGCCTTGTGCTGAGTGCTGATTAACTAAGGGATCCACCTAATGTTAACAAGTAACTGCTGTACAGAAATAATGCTTTTGTGCCAGGAAGCACTGTGTTTGCATAGGAAACTCCTGTGAGTTCCCCTGGGCGTGATCAGATAGGCTGTACAGTAGGATGAGCCCAAGATTGGGGCCAACTTCTGCACTGATTTAACACTCCTAGCCATACAACAGTGGTGGTAAGGCAGCTTGGAGCCTCTGCCCTGGGCGGTTTATTTGGGGTTTTGTTGTTGATTTGCTGAGTTGTGACTAGATCTGTTACACTCCCCCGTACCAGAGGCTGTTAGACACCAATGTTGTTCCCTCTGAAGTCAGCACCAAAATGCTGGACGTCACTAGCGGTTCTGAATTCAGGCCAGCGCTGGAGTAGCAAAGATCTGAGCACGGTGCACCAGAGACCAAGATCAGACTCAGGAGGTCAGAGCTGTCTCCTGCACAATCTCTATCGAGTGCCAATTTGGGCTTTAAGTCTCTTTTGCACTTAGTAGAAAGGCAGAGTAGTTACTTTTGGCCAGGGGAAATTTGCAGATTAATGAATTACTGTCTGTAAAACACTTTGAAGATAGAATGCCCTGCACAGCTCCTCAGGATTATTGCTACATAGCTCTTATTCTACTGACGGGGTTCCAATAGCCTTATTTTCCTTATGATTTGTGACAGCCCCAGAAGCTGAGAAGCTTATTTCAGTGTGTAAAGTCAAAAGAAAAATGGATTAAATTGCATTATTGTTTTCTAAAGAGACTAAATCCCTCCCCCACCTTCTTCTCCTGGGATTTCCTGATTTCCTCCTACTCTTCCAATCTCACCTTCTTGCTGTCCTAATTTAGGACATGATTTTATAACGACCCATACCACTTTGTGAGTTACTGCAATAGTAGAAGTTTATGGTGCTCGGGGGGATAAAGTTATTCACCACTGAAGCAAAGGTGCATAGCCTTGAAGTGGAGAGAAAACCTGCAGAGCAGAGCTAGCCTGGGAGCAGATATGTAACCTGGAGTCAGGAACCTCCATCCTAACCAGTCAGAGTTGTGCCTGGGGAGAAGACTGGAGAGGAGAGCTAGCTTTTGCTTCCTGCCAGCAGAGGAAATAGATAGCGAGGGGTGATTCCTGTGCAGATGAGAAAGTGATGTGACCTGCCTGCTCAAACCTTCTCAGAAATGCAGAAATGTGTAGAAGAAAGCAGCCCATTTTGTGTGCATCACTGACATGGTATTGTGTGGTTGCTTTTGCTCCTCCACGTGTATCAAATAGGCCATCAGGGAACATCTGCAATCAG